CACAAATTCTGCCCACATGCTGCACTATTATCAATCCCATACCCTGTTCCACATTCTTGTCCATCTGGCAAGCGCACCGCCAGAGAGATCTCACCCTTGGCTATATGTTGCAAAGCAGCTCGCACATCCACCACTATCGGAATGCTACGTTCACTCAGAATGATTCTCAGCGGCCAGTTCTTCTGCCTGATCACCACCCCTTGCTTGATCTGCTTCCAGGTCTACTTCTGACGCCAGCTTCGGTGCAATCTCTACTCAATGATCCGGCATACAGCTCTGACCAAACGGCTGAGCTACTTGAAATACAGTACAAGGTCCAAACATTCCTCCTGAATAGCGTTCGGGCGCATCACCTGCTTCCCATCGTGAAATCAAACAATCTGCTAGGAGCTTTCCACGTCCTGATGGGAGGTAGCGGCCGCATTGATCTTAGCAGGATTGAATTTATAGCTTTTGAGAATTCTGGACTCCTAGTGAGGGAGATTCTATTTGACGCAGATCAACGACACCATCATCTACCGCTTGTCCATTCGATCCTTAGCCATGCCTCTTCTTGGGCGATGCAACACTGGAAACAGGAGAAACATCAGGAACAAATGCAAGGACAGCAAAATGCAGTGATGTACTTGCCGCGTGTGGAACCTATTACTATCCACGATATCGCGTCGGTGTGCGCTTGTGGCCTTTCACAAGTGGAGTACGAGAACGCATGGGAAGAAGCGATCGAAGAGCTTCCAGAATTGCTACTTGACGATGAGCACAGGGAGTACATCAAACCATACATAGAATACCTGGTGAGTAACGCCCCAACGAAGCTGTTCACATCCTACCCAAGGGCTGCTCGCTGACATGTATTTACATTTACTTTCCTGGGCTCACAGCGAAATATAGCAAAATGAAGAATGGACAGAATACGGGACCAAACATGTTATCAAAGCAACAGCTCCAAAAGACGGCGCAGGTGCCATAGGGGAATCGAGCCTCTGGTCCAGAACCCGTTCAACTCTCCGTTCCCTCATTCGAATCCGCGATCCGGAAAGGTCGAGTGCAGCAACACAATATAACGTTACACTTCCCCGCGTAATGGAGATGACCAGGTATGTCGTGCGCGTCCCGAGCAATCTGCGCGGTTGGGTTCACAATATACTTTTTGGCATAGGTTCTCTGACTCAGACTCTGGAAGGCGTATCGAAGAGGTGTAACACCCGGCTACGGAGGAGAGGCTTCTTGACGAAACGAGAATCTACGTTGGACTATTACGAACGGATGTTCATCTATCGATCTTGCGGAGGTTTATTGTGTAAACCGTCCGGCTTGGCCACATCATCAGCTCCCAGTGCGAGTTTACCCCGTTTAAGCTCGTAATATGCGCATAAAACCAAGTTTCCTCGCGATGAGACAGGAGAACGACTGAGATGCTAGTGGGGATGGTAGAAAGACAGCCAGAGCTAAGCAGCATGCCGAGGAGTTGATCCGTCTCGAAAGGGCGTCTGAGATGAGAGGAGACTTCGCAGGAGCACTTGGTCCTGGGTGGGAGTTGCGACGAGCAGCCAACGAGCGCCGAGTTTACGCTTACTTCGGCAAGGTGTCCACTGTCTTGTAGATAGATGACGACGTGTGACTTGACGCTCGCACCTTTTTTCTTTAGGGGCCGGGTACACCCTTCGGCAGAAATTATACGTTCAGCAACTTGAACCACACGAGCCGCATACGCAGCGAGATGAAGGAACAATTGGTGTGAAATGAAGAGCGAGCGAAATAAACCGGTCGAGAAGTGAGATGATGCAAGGCGAGAGACTCGGTGAACGAGAAGCGAGCTACCACAATGCAAGAGCTCGAGATAGGAGTCCACGAGTACTCATTAAGCTACATGCATCCTTAACCAAAACCTCAGAAGACATAGCCTCGGGCTTTATCACACGCCGCCGTTCCATAATCGACGACGAACAAGCACTCCATCATCTCCAGACCAACGAAAATGATCAGAAACGTACTCTTTCCACCTACCCACCATCCTACGTCCAAACAGCACCAGCCCGTTCAAGGCCAAGCATAACGTCGTTCAAGTCTTAGCATAGCTTCCAACAACGCACTGAGTATCGGACTCGAGCTTCAAGATATCGGAAGGTATCGGTGTTGGTAAGACTCCTAATAAGGGTCCGCAGGGAAGTACCGGTTTCCTTCGACCGTAATGACTTCGGGGGAGTCGGCGCAGGCGATGGGACAGTGTTGAGCGTGACTGAAAGCGTGAATGAGATGGTGGGCATTGTCGTGGTGGTGGGAGGAAGAGAGGGACTGGTGAGGATGAACCTTCGGATGCTTGGAAAGTGACTTATAAAGGCGAGACCAGTGCGCGTCGACGGTGGCGTCGAGGTCTGATACATAGGCGACGGGAGATCATTATTGGGCCGAGTCTGGGAGGCAATGCGTCTAGAATTTAGTGTACATGTTTGATACATTTGGTTCGCAGGGGTCCGGCGTTGTGTGCGAGGTTCATACGACAGGTCCGATCGCAACGCCAAGCTTCCCCTCCGTCTTCCTCGTACGTCCTTTCTCCGTTATACGGTCATTACCGACCATCTTCCCTGCGACCTATCACCAACTCCCGATCAGAACGCCACTAGGTAAAAACAGGACGAATAACCGACTCACCTCCTGCGTAACACCAAGAATCTTATCTCCCAACCCCACCTTACACCCCTTGCCCTCCCCATGATGATCATCCTCATCAACATCAACATCCTCATGCTCATTCTCCTTCCCCCTCAACGGCTCCATCGACGAAGCTCCCTTCCCGACCATCCTCGCCCCACCTCCCTTTCCCACACTCGGCACATTCTCCTCCTCCCCCCCATTCATCGCCCCCACACCAACTTCCGTCTCACCAAACCCCCCACTCCTGCCACTCGTCACCACAGACGCCCTCCCATCGACGTTCGTACTCCCCCCTATCGCGCCAGGAAGACCCCTCTCGATCGCATACGTGCTGTAGTCCGTCGCGCGGGACTTGTGAGTGGGAAGTGGGTCGGAGGGACGGTGGATGAGGTGCGCGGTGTGGTCGGGGATTGACTTGGGGCCGAGGACTTGGGGGGGTGTGGTGTTTACGTGGTCGTTGAGGTTCGAGCGGAGGGCGATTTTTGCTGCTGCGCTGGATTGGGTTGATGATTTGGGTTGAGACATTGTGGATGGGTTGAAGGAGAGAGGGAGATGAGTTGACTATAAGCAGAGAAATGTTGCTGATGTCATTGAGACGGAAGAAAGTTGAAGAGGGATGCGGATTTGGCTTGGGCGAGAGGAATCTTGGGTAACTGCGCACGCTCGAAGGGGGAGAATCACGAATATTTGGGGCCGAGGTGCTGCGGTTTTCGATGGCGTCAAAAATAAAGTCTAGGGCGCCATAGGACTTGAGAGAGTGCAGAGTACAGAGGTCTTGAGTTTGAGAATGCTGAGGCTGGCTTGGAGATGATCTTACTCATCGGGAGACTGGAGGAGAATGGACGTCCTTGCTGTGGCTCAAAGTCGTCCATGGTGCCGATTGAATGTCGGACAGCCACTGTGCCTGAACAGAGATCGGAAGCAATGTCGGGACCGAGATCGGACCGGATCCGGAGCTGTCTCTTTCTTCCTGCGTTGTTCTCCAGCTCGTCGGGTCTATGAACGGCTGCCATCTCTCACTTCGGGTGTTCCCTGCCCGCTGTCTCAATAAATCCACTCACTTGACGTATACCCTCCTCTTTGCACGTCGACGCGTAATAGCCAATAAGTCGCGTCCCTCTCTGACCACATCCTTCAACTTTCATTCTCCTCCCACGCTTACTACTCCTACTAATTGAAGCCCGACCCATCCCCACCACCATCGCCTCTACCCCCAACAGGGCTCCACACCCAAACGGCCTGCTCCTCGCCCAAGCCCAGCTCTTCACGACCTACTCTCTCCCACTCACGAACCTCACCGAATTCGACAAGTCTTTTTAGGTGTTCCTCAACGTCTGGAACGGCCTTTCTCCCACTCAACGTCAATCATTCTCGGACGAGGCGGAAAGATGGCAGATGAGGTGACGAGGATGGGCTCGGAGAAGGGGGGCGAGGGCGAGGGGTAGATGTAGATGTAGATGAGATGGCGAGAGCGGCGATGAGGAGCGTGGAGAGGAAGGAGAGAGGAGTATACGAGTTTGGATCAGCACTTGGTCGAGATGGGAAGAGGGACGAACGAGACGAAGACGCGATCAGAGCGATCGGAACATTCCCATTCGAGGTCGAAGATGAAGTCGCTGCCTGCGTCAAACGACTTTAATCAGCGAGGGGACAAAAGGCATTGAAGTACCGGCGCTCGGTGTGTTCTGGGAGATCCAACAAGGTACCCTTTATCCCATCCCATCCCCGCTCAACTCCCGCGCTGACCGTATTTGACCAAAAGAAACGCACGTACAAAGACGCACCGCGCGACTGGGGCTTCGCCCACGTCCGATGCGATCCCATGGGAAAGGCGAACGCGGAGAGGGAAATGGAGGAGTTGAAGAGTCGCTTGGACGTCGTGCAGTCTTGACTTGGGTTTGGTCTTGCGCATGTACACTGGTACTGTTCAGTGATCTATCGTTCGGTCCTTGATCTATCCATACCTCGCGAATGATACCGCTTTTGTGCGTTTCGTTCCTGGCGCGCAGTAACTACTGCAATACAGGTTGTCCAGACTACAAGGCGTTTGAGGATGCAGTACTGTGGGTGTGGACCTCATACACGAATCGTAAGTTCATAGTGGGATGCCGTGGGGAGATTTCCATAGCTTGTCTGTACAGACTCCATGCTGAGTTCCTCCGGAGTCTGAATCTGGACTGAGTACTACTTACTAGAGCGCGTTTGCTAGGTTCAAGGCTCAACTTTAAGAGGTTCAAGGCTCAACTTCAAGCTGCTCTTGTCCCTACCTCGCATCAAAATAGGTCGCCGGCGGGCCAACAAAAAGGACCACGTTCAGGTCGAAACGTCAACGCTTTCCAAGCTATTGCATCAAGAGGGAATCGAACCCCCGGCGGGTCGAATCAATACGAAGATTCAACGATGGCAACGACCCAGGTTACCACTACCCCATTGATGCGATGTGAAAAGTCGTGTTGGTTACAACATAATAATCAATGCGCTGAGGGAAGGGGAACTTGACAATGTAAGCTTCAATTGGCAATGGCAGAGTTTACTTACAGTACTGATGTGGAAAATGCAGATGAGACTCATGTTTCTCGGTGCTGGCGTCTGCTCTCTATTGCTGGAGAAGAAAGTTGAATACCTCAGTTGTTCTGCAAACGAAGGAATATGAGATGATAACAAGATTGACAGGTAGAGTGAAGAGACTCGGATGTACTACACTCTAAATTCATACACCTCCTCTCCTTATACAAGTTGATTATCCCCAACTGAAAATACACATATGTATGCGTATTCACCTTCACCCTTGTCTTATATTCATAGTACCCCACCACCTCATCCACCTCTCCTCCCAAAGTCCCCGTATTCCTCTCCCCAAGCACAGAAAACGTCTCCTTCGCCGCTCCCGCCAAATACGCCCTAGCCATCTCATCCAGACACCCGCCATCGGGGAAGGCATCGAGATCGTGCTCGACGAGCTGGTGAAGCATTTTGAAGAGGGTATGGTTTGCGTTTTTGAGGAGGGACGCGGGGACGTGGGAGGGGGGATGGAGGCTATGAATATGTTGTTGACTAATCTATAATGTTCGAATATGTCGCGCTCGGTGCCGAACCCCGTTGCATCCATCTTCCTTGCACGGATGACCCGTAACATCGTCGCTATGGTTCGCTTCAGAAGCTTCGGCGATACTCGGGATAACATCGACTGTCGCGAGCAACGCGTCCAATCTTCTGGAAACTTGGATAATCGGGTATGTTGCGTAGTAAGTGTTCCACTGCATGATCTCACTAGTACTGCTTGCGGTGAACTCAAGAATATACTGCGTAGCCAATATCATTGGGTGGAGGTGACCAACGGAGTAAGGTTGGTGGTGCAAGGATTATTGTTCTCCTCGCAGAGTCGGGCCTAGTGTATGCGGTACTTCAGGTAAGTGGATATGCGAGCATACATGCGTTCTGTTCCTGACAGAGACTCGTCTGCAGATAATAAGACTCGCACTAAACGTTAGCATCATCGAGTCGACGCCGTTCTACGGCTCCCTGGACACTGAATACCCCATCTTCCAAAGCGCGAGTCTGGTGGTTACGGTCAGTTTACCTCCCTTCGACGAGTTGTTTGTCGTGAATTTCCGGTTTGATCGCTCGGTGCATTCTTAATCATACTGACATACTCCGATTCAGGCTATGTACCCACCCACCCTGTGCACTGTGTTTTTAATGTACGGCCCTAATGTACTCCTGTACTCTCCTGTACGGGTGTACAGGAGCGTGACGTACTTTGCTGTACGCGTCACACCCCTCATGTACTCTCACATTAGATTCCCACATCCAAAGTCCGGGGACACTGAGTTCACAGCAAAGGCCTGGTGAGTAGAATGACTAAATGGACTGGCGCATGCTGAGAATGAGTCCTGAGAGCTTTCAGGTCGGGTATAGTACTCTGGATATACATGCATGAGTGAGTGATCATCGATCCGGCGTCACATCCGTGTTTCTGGCATGAGCAGCGCTTTCATCATCTGGTGATAGAGTGAAGAGCGGGTCAGCAGGAGTCAGATAGAAGAAAGTATAGCTCTTTTTCAAACTGACAGGCGGAATTTAAGGCTCTTCTTCCAGTACATATTGGACACGAACTCGGTACACGATTCTGACTCAGTGTGACATGATGTGACCGCGGTTACAGTAGGGGATCACTACGCCTTTATAATCATTCTCCCAATATTACAAGTACTCGGCGCGCGTCCAGTGGTAAACAACCTCCCATCAATTTAGCTCGTAATGCTCATAGTAAGTTGGAATGTCGCACCTGACGCTCCGGAATAATTGTAGGAGTGTTAAATACCTGTGTAGAGCGTTGGAGAAGGTGAAATTCACATTTGGAATACCATGTACACTAGGGTACATTAGGATACTACTGTACATCGCCGGTACATTAGCGTACTTTAATGTATATCTTTACATTAGGGCCGTACATTAGAAAAATACGTCCCACCCGCTCTCATCATCATCATCGGCTATGGGTACTCCATCGCGGACACCATTCAGATGAACACAATCTCCGGATTGCCAGGGTCAAGTTCGGAGCCTAGACCTCGACGCCGTGGACCTGTTCATACGCTCAGCGATATTGTGTTCAACAGGAGCCGCGGCCGAAGTACGACGCACTCGTCTGGGCCAGAAATGGGAGAGTTTGAAGGGACTGGTGTATCAAAGGGCTAGATGAAGATACCTGGAAAAGGCGGGCGAAGAATGTCTAGTGCGCTGTTGCTTAACTGGATTCCAAGGCACGCGGGTATCTAGGAGCGATTATTCAATGTTTATCGATTAGCTTGAGGCAGGAAATGAACTGTCACCTCAGTCCGGTTCATACATCGATTCGGACGCGTCTGTTGTAACTGTAGATGGAATGAACGTCTCGACGATGTCCAGTGCTTGTGTTCCTGCTTCTTTGGTGCTTGCCATTGGTCGTGGTAAGTACGGTGCTGGCACGGTGCGAGCCAGGACAACCCTCGGATCGTATCGCTCGCGTTCCGCGTCTGCTATTACTGTATGTAATGCAATTCTGTTCTTCACCGACCACCACAACCCAGCCATGGCCAGCATCCAGCTACACTGCTCTGGGTCGTCCCCTTGATTCTCAGTCAAAAAGGGACTTCGGCGGTCAGTATCAAGGCGAAAGCTCAACGATTGCAACGAGCCAGGCCACCACTGACCCCTTGATGCGATCTGTGTTCTCAACGATGCACCGCTGCTTGTTGCAATTGCAGGCCTTATCAATTTACGCCTTTTGACGTTGATGCCGATAGTTGCGTGTACATCTTCTCCCGTCTACATCATTCTCCCCTCCTCTACCCTCCAGTATCTTGTCGTTATCATCCTCGAATAGACAATCATCGTGCTTGATGGTCGTCGAGACGTGATCCGGTCACGATTGTTGATTGTTGACAGGGATATCAGGATCAACGTCGACGACACTTACACTGGAGCTGGAGCGTGATCCAGCTTGTTTGTGAGAGAACATCAGTCAGGTCTCTGGTTTTTGTTGAAACTCCTCAAGCTCTCATCTGGGCTCCACGCAAAGTAGAGCGTATTTAGTCCGAGTATTAGGGCTCTTGTTGAGGTTAGATAGGGGCGAACCGAATGGAGATGATGTATTCAAGCTCTATTCGATCAACGCGAAAATATTTGTATTAAATACGCTCTAGTTGCGACACAGCTGATAGTATAACTTTGGGGTGTCGACTCCCACTCCGAGTCGTTAAGGGACGAACTGTCAAAATTTTAATCCTTGTGAGCTTGCTGAACACGACTCTGCTGATCTCCTCCTGGAATTCGCTACGAGCTCGACGGTACCTGCAATCCTGTGTGTGATGATCATGAAGATTTTTTCCCTGGCACTCAACTCGAACGTGTGAGGTACTATCAGCTCTTGTTTGTGTTTCCTGATAAAAGGGCCTCCTAGGTACGCCGCATCGATAAACAAAACCCTTTATCGCCTCCTCCCGTGCTTGTGGTCACGTTCTGCTTAATAATGAGTACAATCGAGGAGCCTCTCCCAGTACCTCTCTCGCCGATGGACGTCGAGTATTTGACTTTGTTAGGGCATCATAACAGATATAGCCTCAAGTGCATCATCGCCGAAATGGCATTGTACGGTGCGTATATTGTTCTCTGTCCTCGCACACTGCCTGTGTTTTAGTGACTCACATGCTGCTCTAGGTGTATACGTCGTTCTCGTAGCCGTGGCTCTGTACATCATCCTGTGCGCTCCTCGACTCTAACTACCTATTGTCGGCACGGGCACACTCAGACCTTTCAATTACAGAAATAGGCCACATAAGTAAAAAAGAGCCGTTCTTCTTTCCGCTGCGCTTCTTGCAACTTTCTCCGTGACGACATTACTCTGCATTGTCGACCTGACGACCTTGCATGCGTGAATCAACATCGTGCTTACAGACGGTTCCGAGACCGTCCTGATGAGTCGCATCATCAATCACAATGCGTGGATCGAAGCTCGCAGTTGGCTCTCCACGGCGGTTGACGTTCTGGGAAGCACGGCGAACATGGGTGTTGTGGTGAGTAGGCGTGGATCGAAGCTCGCAGTTGGTTCTCCACGGCGGTTGACGTTCTGGGAAGCACGGCGAACATGGGTGTTGTGGTGAGTAGAGACGCACACCCTATGTGGTTGTTCGCGCATTGACCTAGTATCATTCTGGTAGTTCCTCATTAATGATCTTCTGGCTACATGGCGAGCTATGGCAGTCTGGAAACGCCCCTCTAGGCCAATTCTCGGGCACGGCCTTGACTGTTCTCGTGCTTTCCTACTTCGGTAAGGCTGTTCTTGAATATACCACGTTCATATTGAGTCAGGCGACTCATAGGTGTTACGAGAAACCTGGATTACATTCATGGGCATCGAGATACACTTCCCGGATCCTACCAGTAACATCGCAAACTCAAACGTCTCGGCTGTACTGGAAATCACATCGTCGTGTCGAATCTTTTAGCGACGTGGATGATTGGGTATGTTGCATAGTAAGTGGACAGCACCCGTCTTCTTTGTCAGCGACCGCGTTGTGACAAACATGCTGCATCTAGCCAATACCGACGAACTGAAGCAAAGAGCGGTGTAAAGTTCAATGGCGCGAAGATCCTTGTGCTCCTCGCCGAGTCAGGGCTGGTGTACGCGATACTTCAGGTGGGTGGTAGGCATTACACTCCGCAATGCGTGGTCCTGGGTTTGACCACGCTTGAGCAGATAATCAGACTTTCTTTGATTCTAAGCTTCGGCGAATCGACACCCGCGTACGGCTCCTTGGATACTGGCTACGCTATCTTTCAAAGCGCGAATCTGGTGGTTGTGGTGCGTCCGTTCCCATACTCCAATCCGCCGAGTTGGATCTCAAGCGGGAATCGTGTGTATTTCACAGGCCATGTACCCACCTTCCCTCATCA